GCTTGTGCATGTGGTGGGTGGCGACAAGGAGGTGTGGCATGCTCCGCGTGGCTGGCTGTTGGCTGTTCTTGTCCTTGCCAGCTGCTGGATTGCTAGACAGCCAGCTTTAACGGCGTAGATGTTGAACTGCGTGACAGATTGTACGAGGCATGCGATGATGCTTGGGAGCTAGCCGGTGTCAGTTTGCGCGCAACCTTGCGGAATTGTCCACTTTGCTGCTGCTTGTTGGTGATCGTGAAATGGTGCCAGCCGACTCCTTACCCGCTCATGTGTGGCTCGCTCCCTCTCCTGCACAGGACCCCTTCCCCAAGCCCTGCTACCTGTTTGCGCTGGTGGCTGGTGACCTGGTGAAGGAGGAGGACACCTACACCACAGGCAGCGGCAAGACAGTCACGCTGCGCATCTACACGCAGCCGGCCAACATTAGTCAGGTGCGGCACGGGCAGTGCAGCTGCACTGCCTTTAAAGACCTGGAACCTTTGACATCGGCCACGCTATTGGCGACGGCAGGGCGGTGTGTTGCATGTTGACTCGACAATGTTGGGGTGGCCACTGTATGGCGGGCGCGCCAGCTAGCGCCAGCACCTGCTGATGTTTGCTCGCCGCGCTCACTGCTCCAGCAGTCACGTCTTCCTTGCTGCTGTCCTGCTCTGTTCTCAGGTCGGCTTTGCCATGGAGTCGCTCAAGAAGGCCATGAAGTGGGACGAGGACGTCTACGGCCTGGAGTACGACCTGGTGAGGACGCTGCAGCAGCCATCCTCACAGGCTGCATGTGTGTGCCGTGATGTGTGCAAAATTGATTCTCAAGCAGCACCGTTGGAGAACCGGTTTTGGAGAAGGGTCTGGTAGGCTTTACACAGCAGGTGCAGGGCATGCTGCTTGGCTTTGTCGCCAGCACATGCAGCAGCTGGCCAAGCATAAGCAAAGGCGGGGCGTGTGGCGGCAGCACTAGTGTTAGGGCTTCAGGCGAGCTGTGCAGCCTCAGATCAGGCTGTGTCAGCTTGTCAACAGCGTCCATGCCAGGCCTGTTCCTCACACCCTGCGCGCTTTTTTGCTGTGCACGCGCAGGACCTGTTCAACATTGTGGCTGTCGACGACTTCAACATGGGCGCCATGGAGAACAAGAGCCTCAACATCTTCAACAGCAGGCTGGTGCTGGCAGACCCCGACAGCAGCACAGACCTGGACTATGCGCGCATCGAGGGTGTGGTGGGCCACGAGTACTTCCACAACTGGACAGGTGAGCAGGGCGGCACACCGTGCACCCCGTGTCGTGCTGTGCTGTGCCTGTGACCTGCGTGGCGTGCACGCACAGCACAAATGTAGCGGGGTACACAGGGAGCTGCTGCAACACATGCCATCCCGTCAGCGCCAGGCTGGTCTCACCTGCTGAGTGCTGCAGCCGCATTGGTCTGGCCTGCCGATGCACGAAGTTCACAGCACTGGAACCACCAGCAGCTTCCGCAACCAGTAGCGCCTGCAGCTTACATGTGCTGCCGCTGTCCTCCTGCTCAGGCAACCGCGTGACGTGCCGCGACTGGTTCCAGCTGACGCTGAAGGAGGGCCTGACCGTGTTCAGGGACCAGGGCTTCAGCGCCAACATGAACAGCGCGCCAGTGAAGCGCATCGAGGTGCGGGCGCCCCCGTGCCTAGTGCATTGCGCGGCTGCATGCGCATGGGCACGTGTGCGCCTCTGCATCCATGCTGCAGCATGGGGTGCTGCTGATGTCAGGTTTGGTTCAGGCCAGGCATGCGCAAGCTCCACTCTGATGCAGACCGTTGGGTGATTGCAGTACTGCACGATCATGCCACTCCATGGTCCCAGGCTGAGCGTCCTCAAGCACCAACTCAGAGCAGAGTGTTGTATGCGTGCAGTACGGCACGCTCATGCCCATTGCTGGCCTCAATACATGCTGCTTGTGTGCATCAACTGCAGGATGTTGCGATGCTGCGTGCCAGCCAGTTCAGTGAGGACGCGGGGCCCATGGCGCACCCCATCAGGCCAGACTCCTACATCAAGATGGACAACTTCTACACAGTCACAGTGTACGAGAAGGTGCGGCCAGCAACCGTAGTGATGTGCATTCTGCTGTTTGTCATCAGTGATGCTGTAACTCGACGGTCTGTTGCGCACTGCCAGAGACAAGAGCAGCACTGCCAGCATGCCAGCCGCACGGCGTGATTGGCGTGGCATGGATGGCCGACATGTGCAAGGTGTCCAATGCATTCAGCATGTGTGTCAATACATACGCTTGCTGCGGTCGCTGTAGCGCGTGCTCACCTGGGTACCTCTGCTGCATGTTTGCTCCCTGCAGGGCTCTGAAATCATCCGCCTGTACCACACGCTGCTGGGCGCCGATGGCTTCAGGAAGGGCATGGACCTCTACTTCAAGCGACACGATGGACAGGTGTGGTTGGGGGGGGGGGGGCGGCACAGGAGGAACAGTGCGCAGTGTTTGCACACTTGACGTCTCACTGGGTCAGCGCTCAGCTAATGTGCGCAGAGGTACACATAAACCCCTGCCTGTCGCGTGTGTTGTCGCATCGCCGCTGCCATGCTGCAGGCTGTCACATGTGACGACTTCCTGGCAGCCATGGCGGATGCCAACGGCGAGGACCTGGCGGGCGTCGGCCGCTGGTACAGCCAGGCGGGCACGCCCAAGCTCAGCGTGACCACAGCCTACGACGCAGCCAAGAAGAGCTTCACCATCAAGACGCACCAGGTCACGCCGCCGACAAACGGCCAGCCTGACAAGCTGCCGGTGCTGATCCCGCTCAAGGTGAGGGTGAGGGCGGCTGCGAGTGGGTGAGAGCAGCTGGCAGTGGCCCGCCCTCCTGGCTGGCGTGTGGGCCACTGCAGCGAGGTGTCAGCTGCTGCCACTGTTGCTGCCGTGCTGCGCGTGTGGCAGGTTGGGTGGGATCAGTCACGCGGCAGTGCAGGGCTGTTGCTGTGTTGCACATGCGCGCAGCCACGGTGTTGACACCTCCGTGCAGTCGGTGCGGCCTGTCACGGGGGGGGTGGCGCCTGCCCATTTTGTGCTGTTCCTGCTGCTGGCAAGTCTTGCTGCTGTTGCGCGTGCCGCTGCTGCTGCGCAGGTCGGGCTGCTGGGTCCTGACGGCCAGGACCTGCCGCTGCACCTAGAGGGCAAGGGCGCAGTGGGCAGCAGCACCGTGCTGCGATGCGACGCAGAGCACAACAGCTTCACCTTCACAGACGTGGCGGTGAGGAGGCTGGATGTAGCAGTTGGTGACATTCCATGTGCTGCGCGTGTTCTCCTGGGCAGGCAGCAGTTTGTAGCATGTGATGTGCTGCCGCCAACAGGTGTGCTGTGTCTGCAGCGTGGTGTACACGTCGAAGCAGCTGTGTGCACTGCCTCAGCAGTCGGATGGGTGCAGTCAGTTCACTGCTGTGTGTGTGCTGCTGCTGCCCTGCCCGACGCATTGGCAGGTCGAGCCTGTGCCCAGCCTGCTGCGTGGCTTCAGTGCGCCTGTGAAGCTGGAGGTGCAGGGCCAGACCGACGACCACCTGCGCCTCATGTACGCACACGACAGCGACCCATTCAACAGGTAGGGCTCAGCTGCTGGGGACCGTGCGCGGGCTGGGTCAGAGCGTCGCGAGTTGTGCAGCTCTGTCGCATGATGCGGCATGCACTGCTTAGTTCTTTGATGCGTGCCGTCCGCTTGTATCTGGCACACGTCTTGGCCAGCAGGACACCAGACATGCAGTGGCTGGCGTTGTTCATGACCGGCACTCGCTGCTGACCTTGCTGCTGTTGTATACAGGTGGGAAGCTGGTCAGCGGCTGTACATGAAGCTGCTGCTGCAGCTGTACCAGGCAGCGGCGGGGGCTGCTGCGTCCACCCCGCTGGCTGAGCGCTGCGCTGCTGGTGGCGGCGTGCCTGGCGAGCTGGTGTCTGCCTTCAAGGCTGTGCTGGAGGATGGCAAGCTGGACGGCAGCTTCAAGGTGCGCTGCCTAACTTGAGAGCCATCCTCTCTAACCTCTCTAACCACTGAGCCACGTGTTTAACGTCCCGCCGGACCAAGCACCAAAAAGAGGCTTGCACCGCGCGTGTTTAACGTCCCGCCGGACCAAGCACCGCAAAGAGGCTAGCACCGATTAATCGAGGAGATTTCATGGGTGTGCACGTCGGAAACGGAACACTTCGAGGACTGCAAACCTCGCAGGACACGAGTATGAACCACAAAAAGCCTCAGAGAAGCAATTTGCAGCTTCCTCACCCAAAATAACACAAACTCTGCGCAGAGGAAGAGCATCAGGACGGAACAACTGGTGTCAACGTCAGCGACAAAGAACGGAACATGCAGACATGGCAACAACTAGCAGGTACTGGGCACCTCGGTGCTCCTGCTTCAGGTGTTGAAGACATTGTACGACATGATGATCAACATGATTAAAACTCTCTGCTACCAGGACGCGCACAAAGCAACAGCATCATTCGCAACGCCGTGGCACCACAGGCACCTGCCACCTTACTGGTGTGTCTGGCAAGGCCACACCCCGGGCAATGGCACCGGCCCAACACACCTACTGGCTGACATAGGCTGCATGAGAGTACTAACAGCACAAGACATGCAACCACATGTAGCAGAATGGATAAAGGAACAGAGGATGCAAGAAAGAACCCCAATCCACGCTATGGCGCAGAGGCCAAGTCCCTTCTCGGTGCCAGCTGCAGCCGGCCGTCAACCACGCGTACAAAGGGGTGATCAGCTGGCACAATATCCAGCCAGGCCAAGGGGGCTGCCTTGATGATTACGAGTTCAACCAGCAGCTCCCAAAACCTAGCCACCGCCTCCTTCTTCTTTGTCTGCACCAACTCATCAAGCTCCTGCTGTCGCTGCTGCTGAAGCTGTAGCTGCTGCTGCTGTCTGTGCTGCCTCTGGCGCAGCAGCAGCAGAAGCAGCGGAAGCAGCAGCAGTGACACGCACTGTGGCTGTGCTTTGCTGCATCGTCTCCACAACAGCGTAATGCTGCTTACAGCAAAGTGGTGCAGTGGAAGCGTGATGGGCTCGTAACCCATAGGTCACAGGATTGAAACCTGTCTTTGCTATGGTGTAAAAGCATGGCACACCACTCAGAACTTCGATAGCAAAGAGAAGTCTGGTAGCTTTCGCTGACTGACATTTGCACTTTGGGCATGCATCTGCTGTGTTGCTGCCTGCGTTGGTTCGGTGCTGTGCTATGCGTTTGCTCAGTTGAAATAAGAACTTTGGTTTGCTCATCTTGCTTGTACTCCTGCTGCCGTCTTGCTCTGCCTTGCAACCTCACCATGTGCAGGCCATGGCGATGCGTCTGCCCAGCATGGCCGAGATTGTGGATCGCATCGACGAGGCAGACCCGGTGCTGATCTGGCAGGTGAGGCAGGCGGCACACAGCAGGCTGGGCTTGCAGGGCTTGCCGCTGTGCTGGTGAGGTCGGTGCAGGTGTGGCAGCGGGGCCGCATTGCTGCGGCACGTGTGATGCGTGCGTGCCTGCTGGCTGATGATGGGCAAGTTGCGGTAGCAGGCGTGGAGCAGCAGCCCTGGGAGTGTAGGCACACGCATATGAGGATGCTGGTGTCAGCATACAGGCTTCTTCTTGTATTGCCCGCAGACCTGCTGTGCGTGCAGCACACCACATCAGAGCCGGCGGTGGCGCCACATTGTGTCCTGCCTGTGCCTCTTGCCGCCCTGCCCTGCAATGCTGCAGGTGAGGCAGTACGTGTACCAGCAGCTGGCGCAGCAGCTGCGGCCCGAGCTGGAGGCCGTCATCAAGGCGAATGACGTGCCGCCAGGCACGCCGTACACGTTCAACGCGCAGGAGTGTGCGCGGCGCCACCTGCGCAACATGAGCGAGTCGGTGCTGGGCAGCCTGGAGTCGGCAGAGATGCAGGATCAGCTGCTGCGCAGGTGGGCGTGCAGGGGGGCTGGGGGCTGCCTGTCCGTTTGGTTTGGTTCTGCAGGGCCCCCTGCGTCCTACCGTCTTACACATGTTGCATGCTGGCATCAGTGCTGTGCAGCTTTAAGTGTCCAGGGATCAAGCAGCTGATGCTGCGCTTGGTTTACAGGGGACTGCAGGCAAGCCTGGGTGGGCTGGTCTGGGCTTATCAATGGGTGACACCTTGCACGATGCTTGTTGTGATGCAGATCGGACTGAACATACATGTGCAGCAGGTTCACAAGGCAGGGGGGCTGAGGGGCTCGCATGCATCCATTGATTGCACGCTGTACACAGGCCGCTGGGGCCCTACGATAGGGCTGCTGTGGTTCTGATCGGCTGTAGTCGCTCAGCAATGCTGGTGGCGATGCAAGTGGCGCATGATCAGGAGTCTGATCAACAGCCTGATCAGCATCTTCTTGGCCTGTGTGTCTCTTCTTCGCCTGTCTGTCTGTTGTCCAGGTTCCGTGAGGCCACCAACATGACCGACCGCATGGCTGCACTGACGGTGCTGTGTGACGCCGACACGCCAGGGCGTGAGCAGGCGCTGCAGGTGCGGGCATGCCGGCAGCGCGCTGCCACAGCAGCTGTCACACGTGTGCCCAGGCACTGTTTCAGCACATCAGGGGCTTGCTGGCATGCAGCATGCTGCGCAGCATCCGGGTGAGCAGTAACATCTGATTGATGCCCATTGCATGCGGACAGGTCACTTTGTGCACCAAACACATCTTGTAAACGCCCTCTTCAGCACCGAACACTGTTGAGCAGCCAAGTGATCCCCTGACAGGCTGTTACACGATCGCACGCCAGTGCAAGCCAGCCCTCATGGCCCTCATGCGTGACTGGCACGCCCCTGCCTGCCTCGCCCTGCAGGAGTTTTACGAGGCCAACAAGGAGAAGCCGCTGGTGCTGCTCAAGTGGCTGGCAGTGCAGGCCAGCTGCGCGCTGCCGGGCAACATCGCCAAAGTGCGTGCGCTGATGGAGCACCCCGCCTTCACCATCACCACGCCCAACTGCTGCTACAGCCTGTTCCTGGGCTTCGCACGCAGCGTGAACTTCCACGCGGCAGACGGCAGCGGCTACGAGTTCATCGGGGACTCAGTGATCAAGGTAAGCTGCCACAGCTGGCAGCCAGGTTCGCGGCCTAGACCCACACGCATATACCTCTGCAACTGGTGCTCCATGCGCAGCAGCAGCGCACAACATCGACCGGCAAGCTGTGCATTGCTTGTTGCGCCTGAGTCGTGCCTGGCAGCGACATGGCTTGTCTGCCTGCCGCACCATCCTGCTTGCCTACTGCCTGCCTGCCTGCCTGCCTGCCTGCCTGCCTGCCTGCCTGCAGATGGACGCGATCAACCACCAGGTGGCCAGCCGCATCGCGGGCGCCTTCACCACCTTCAAGCAGTACGACAAGGAGCGGCAGGCCATGATGGTGGCCCAGCTGCGCCGCATCGCGGCAGTGGAGGGGCTCAGCGAAAACGTGTTTGAGATCGTCACCAAGAGCCTGCAGCAGGTGTAAGGGTGGACGTGCCTGAGCCTTTGGCACTTGCATCTTCCACGTCGTATCTCAAAGCCATCTTGAAGCCATACGTTATTGCGAAGCTGCGTGGTGGCGGCATGGAGCCATGGTGCCTATTATTACGGCTGAGGTACTGCCGGTGCTGCGAGTATGATGCAATATTTCCACATCAGCATGTATTGCCGTGTGCCTGATGTTGCCAGAACAGAGTTGGTTTTGCATCTCCAGCTGGTGGAAGCCAGTGTCGAGGACAGCTTCATTCTGGTGCTGTGCTGCTGGTGTATGCCCATGGTCTGTGCCCAGCGGACGCATCACGCTGGGGGCATAAGCGCCAGTGATTCTCCGAGCATGAGCTGCGTGGGCTCTTGCACTGTGCTTGTGGCGCTGCATGGGTGCTGTTGCAAGTGCAATTTTCTATCAACATGCTCAAGTTGAGTCAGCTGCGGTGCTGTCTACGGCTCTGATCACTGTTGCTTTAGCTGTGGCGTGGCCTGACGGTGAATGGCTGCAGTACATCGTCAAGCAGCATGCATGTCAGGGCTGTCGAGTGTGCTGGCTGTGCCTGCGTCAACCCAACATGATGGTTGGTCGTGAGCCGCTACATACTGTGTTGCAGTGTTGCAGCTGTCAACATATGCATGGTAACTTAGCAAGGGCTGTTTATCAAGTTGCACCCACCATCGGACAGCAGCTGTCCCCCCCCCCCCCACACACAGCAGCTTGCACAAATTAGGTACAACACCACACATCTGTTAGCTTAGCAGCCGCAGCAGCCCTGCAGCAGGTGTGCTGCATGTGGCATCCATCACACCACCGCTAGTGCCCGTGCAGCCGCCAATGACATTCGGCTGCTGCAACGCCTGCATCAGCTGCTTGCTGCTGCAGATGTGCGTGTACGATGTGCATATTGCGAGCCAATTGACAGGTAGCTTGGCATGGACCTGCAAAACACACGCAAGCAGCTGAGGTGATTGAAGGTGGTCATCATCCACTTCCTTTGTGTCTTCATGACAACATCGTGCAGCTCGCGCAGTCAGCTAGCTGCACACCACCCATCTCCAGTGCATGTGCGCACGCTCACTCCAGTTTTGACATCTGGCACAGCACACCTAGTAGTTGCAGGCCCTGTAGTGATTCTGCAGAGCCAGTGCTGGAGGGTTTAGAGCCGCTAGTCAACGATATGTGGGCTGCGTACAACACATCGTTTGATCGTTACCGTCACCAGTATCGGTTTTTGATAGATGTGTACCAATATTCGTTGCGTAAATCGGTTGATAGATTGCGTAGTGGCTACGAAAGAATAGATTCATGAGAGTTGATCGGTTTACTTGCGGCAAAGTCGGGCCTTGCATACGTGCTGCTCTACAACACGCAGGGGCGCTCTGTTATTTGGGACTTTGCCGCCCAGAATGCCTCGGGACCGTGCACAAATTGATCATTGATGTAATTAATCACTTAACTGTACTTTATAAGATGCCACTCATCCAAAAGTGGGAATCCAATCAGGAGCCAACCATCAATCACAATCACAAGAACGCCTGGTGGTGCGTACCAGCACAAGGAGAGTGCACTAAGCACCTCGGTTCTACTACCTGGGATACAGCAGCAGGGTCAGTAGTTGCAACCGCTGTTATAACCAGCCATTGTGCATACGTAGGCTCCTTGACATCCTTATTTCATTGTTCATGTGGATGCATTTGGTGCACACCATTGCTCTGCAAGTTTGCTTAAGCACCTTTTCTGGGACCCCTTGAATCACCCTCCTCCTCCCAAAACCCTCCTGCAACTGCATTGTTCAAGATTATGCGGATGTGCGTGAAGCTTGACAAAAGGTGCTAAAACCAAACGCCTGATAGAAGTTCTGTTGCAAGCTAGCTCTTGTGGAGATAAAAGCTGAAAATGCAGCTCCTGTCAGTCCTGTCACTCATTTTGTACTTGCCCCAAGCCCACAGCTTACAGTGTATACCATCGCACACCAAGAACGTTAGTATATGTAGGCTAGATGCTGCATCAACGCATCCAACCACAGACTGCATATGTACGCATCAGGAAAACTCAAGACTTGAGTGTCAGGGCTGACAGACATGGATTGCTAGGGATCATATAGTGCTTGCACACACGCCTGCATCTTGTTGTATGTACACGTCTCTTGGCAATGAATGGAGAGAGACTTAACTGCCTTTGATTCAAGGTGCGTATAACAAAACAGAATGCAAGCACTAGAGGAACTCAACCACTTGCCCTCTTGGCAGTGGCACAATATCTGAAGCAGACAGTCGACAGATGAAGGGAAGGAACAATGTAGTAATCACTCATAGTGTAGAACCGATCACGCCATCTTGCCCTTCAGCTCAGAATCCCAGCTAACTGCTGGACAGCTAGCATGCTGCGTAACAACGCTACCATTCCAGCCACCTGCTGCAAAGTGTTTCTAATGGCAGCTCACAGCATGAGCGGCAGCTGTGCTGCAATATCCATCAGCAGCCGTCTACCTACAGCTGCAGGTGCTGTGGCGTCACCAGGTGCCGGTGAGGCTGCAGCTACGAGTGCTGGTGAAGGTGACAGAACTGCTGCTGCTGCTGCTGGTGGTGGTGCTGGTGCTGCTGCTGGTGCTG